ATAAAGAAATCCTCTTTATGGAACATAGTCAGCAGTGAAGGTGCAAATTACTCATTATTAATTCCTTTTCTTTTATAAGATAAAAGCAGATAACTCGGAAAGCAGTTCTAAGGCCTTTACACTTTTGTTCATAGCAGAATAAGGCCTGCTTCTAATAGGTACTGGGCTTAATAAATGAGTATACTTATTTTCCAAAGTGATAAGCCGTCCTTTCTCCTATTGAATCCAGCAACTGAATGAATACTCTTGAAATCCACACCCTTAATCTTGGCATTACAACCCTGACAAAGGAAACATTAAAATATTTTAATCCAATTTTGTCTAAATATCAGACAAATCTTTTGGTAGGTGACCAAGTACCCTTTTGCCTGCATGTATTACCTTTAATAGTGACAAGCATGAAGTGCTCTCAATGAGATGAAATCTGGGGGTTTTTTCCTTTTAGAAATCATTAAATCTTATACTTTCAGTAAAAACCACTCTACTGCCTTATGTTGGTAGAAATAACTAGTTCACACTAGAATAAATATTTAAATATGTAAATGCTTTCCTATGTATGTTGACAGTATTGACTGCCAAAGTAAATCTTCTGTATCTGAGACGGGATGAAAAATGATTTAATGCAGCTGAATCTGTTATAAAAAAAAAAAAAAATAATGAAACCCAAAGCTGAAGTATTAAGCAGAAGAATAACACTGGTGACTAAAGAGTGTGTTGACTATTGCTTGTAATGATGCTATTACATGAGAAAATTACTAAATGTATGTTGGCAATTATATACAAGAAACCAAATGTCTCCATATAAAACAAGCAAAATTGCCTAATTCACAGACATTGTTTTGTGAATTTCTTTTTAATGTCTGGCTTTTTAGTACGCTGCAAACACAATGCCTGCCCATGCTAAAGGGCTTTCATAACAAACATTCTGAAGTTATAAGGAAAGAAACATTTGACCAAGAACTATGCTACCATAAAACCTATGTTAGAGAAGTAACAACAAGTATCACACAACAAAGCACAAGTTATTCCATTCAAATAACTCAATCCCATTCCATTGGTCCCAATCTAGGGTAAATAATAAGAATTTTTACTTCCTGCCTGTTTTATTGTTCATCTTGGGAGTGTTTTAATAATGAACTTGTTATTTACCTAGAGTGGTGGTAATTAAAGTGAAGTAATTGATAACTCTGAGTTACAGATAAACTCCAGCTCAGAAGCAAAACAACTTAGCAAAGGCCACAAAGAAAGTTGAGAGAGAGTCATGGTAACATGATTATTAGTACACGTGATTCTGCCATTCTCCAGTGTTTAGCTGCAACAGAAAGATTTACAGGGGACGGGGCTATTGACAGATAACGGCATTTCTTGTTTAGCTCCAATGTCTGTGCCAAAGGGTCTAGGGGGGTGCTGTTCCACAGGCTGTACACACACAGGCTACCAGCTACTGCCAGATTAGTAGGAATTGTCTTTCTGGTGCTTGTGGATTCATTACAGATCAGTGCCCCAGCAGATAGCACAGGGGGCAGTGACTTGTATCACTGGAGTTTTTTTAAAAAAAGGTTTATCATCATGTATAAAAATTTTGAAACTTCCCTCTGGTGCTCATAGCATGCCAGTCTTTGCATAATGCTTTTCGCCACAACAATGCATTAAATACTATGCATTGCAGTGGCCTTATTGACAAAAGGAATAGGCAAAACAAAGTAAAGAGTTTAGCAACATCTCTCACAACCTTGAGCATCAGAACTAGTTTTATTACAGGAAGAACCCAGATTCCACGGGTTTCAGAAGGACTTCAAAATTTTGCCTTACTTCCAACTAAATAGGAGCTACACATGCGTTTAAGTGACCTCAGACTTGCATCTCATCTAAAGCACTTTGAAAATGGCTGCATCCTACTTCCACTGAAGACCCTAAGAGTCCGCTTGATTTTAACAAGAGCAAGATCAGACCTTTATTGCATTGACACCTCTCACACACCCACACTAATTCAAACCTACTGCTAGCACATTGCTGATACAGAACTCAGACCTATAAATACCTGCCCGAAAGGCAAAAATGTTACTAGATGAGCCACAGCAACAGCAAAGCCATGATAGCAGCTTTGAAATAAGTTCCAGGTATTCATCCGTAGTGCTGATAAAATACACCAAAGACCCATCTGTTGGACTAGCAGCCATGGCTGAAAGAATCGAATGTGCAGGGATCTGGGTTTTCTGTTTCCCATGGACAAAAAAACAGAAAAAAAACACACAGATTTTCTACTTTAAAGGAGAAAAATGTGGATTTTCCCCTATGAAGGAGAAAAATGCAGGAAACTCTGCATTTTCCCTTGCAGGCTGAAAGTCTTCCAGTCTTCTACAAGGAACTGCTTGGGACTGAGGGAAGTGGGGGAGAGCGATTGGAGGCAGGGGGCATCATGTGCTTGTGCATGGCCAGCATACAGGCAGGGTGGTGGAGCAGTCCCAGCAGGTGGATACAGGTAGGTGAACGGGGGAGGATGGACGGCCAGAGCTTGGGGATGGAGGGCAGTATGTCTGGGTGGCAGGAGTGTGTGGAGGAGGGGATGTGTGTGTGTGGTCTGGGTGTCTGCTGGCACTGAGGGAAGATGTCCAGACACTGGGGCTGTGGCAGAGCAAGGGGGCCTGAGGCAGTACTTGGTGCCACTGGTGAGCCCAGCTCTGCACTGTTGCCAGTGGGGGGAAGGGACAAGGGAGTCCTTTGGGGGTGGCAGGGAGCTTTATGGCCAGGCCAGTAATGCCAGGGGCCAGTGCCCATACTCTCAGGGAGATGCTGCCTGTGGGGGCCATGACCAAGCCACCTGGCACAGCACAGAAGCCCCAATGCAGGGTGGTAGCGGGTGCCACATGCATTCCCTCCTCCTTCCTCCAGCCTGTTTTGGGGCCAGGCTCACTCCACCACCACCTGCATGAGCCAGAGTTGCTGCAGCTACAGGCACTGCTCTCCAGCTTAGGTGGGACAGAAACCACCTGGAGCCCCTTGCCCTCCTTCTGCTGCACGCAGTACGACCTGGGCCAGAGACATGCTTGGCTTCATGCTGCTGCTGTGGAGCACAGTCCTGGTCCTCCCCACTCTGCCACAGCTCCAGCCCCAGCCCCAGCAAGTGGTACAGGGCAGTGTGGTGCCCCAGCCACTGCCTGTGCTTCTGCATTAGGTTCATTGCATGCACCACATGCTAGAGGCTGTCCCTGCACACCACCATCCTGCGAGTCTGCACAGGACTGGGCAGGGTGGGAGGGGACAGCTGAGGCCCCCCCTGGCAAGGCTAGGGGAGCAGAGGGCTGCAGGTCAGGAGTGAAGGGCACAGGCAGGGACAGGAGGCTGCAGATTGGGAGTGAGGGGCACCAGCATGGCCGGGAGGGGTGGGAGACTTTGGGTCAGGAACGAAGGGCACCAAAGGAGGGGGGGAGGGGAACTGTGGGTTGGGAGTGCGGGGCACCAGCAGGGCCAGGGGGCTGCGGGTTGGGAGCGAGGAGCACTGGCCTGGCCAGGGAGTGGGGGGGCTGCAGGTCAGGAGCGAGGGGCACTGAAATGGGCAGAGGCAGGGCACTGGTATATCAGGGCTGCTCAGCACCACAAAGCAGCTGAGAGGACAGCTGCATCTCGACCTGCATCCTGGTGGGTGAGGGGGGCAGGGGTAGCTCTGATTTTCCATGGTAAACAAAACTACAAATCAAATGCCAAAATATAAAGGTCTTTAGAATTTATGTTATTATAATGATTGAGGCACTGGTAGGTTTCCCAATTGCTTTAAAATTGTAAATAAATCAATAAAATTATGCTCAACTGATACCCAGATATAGATAGCGGCATTTCATTTTAATCACAGGAAAATGCAGATTTTGGGGGTTTAAACCAGAGAATTTGGGATTTTTTAATCAGAGAAAGCCAAGATCCCTGCTAGGGTGCATAAGAGATTCTGTAAAGTTTTTCGTTCGGTTCTCCAATAAATATGCTCAGTGTTAGTAAAAGCCTTATTAGCATCATGAAAAGTAATCTTAAGGGACTGAGCTCCTCTTCACCTTGCAATAAAGGTAACAAAGCTAAAGATAAAGCAGCACATTGACCTGTAGTTGTCTTTGCCATAAGGCCATGGTTTGGTAAGCCCCGTTAATTAAATGACGCCATGTCAGGCAGCACTGACAGTGATGAGGTGCAATATCCTATACCCAGAGATGCACCCAAAAATCTCTGCTAATTGTCTATACATAAAGCATTTTCAAACAGCCCACACTTTATTGTGAACTTAATCCCCACCAGTCAGTAACAATAAGGGACAGCAAAATATTGTTACTGCAGTCTTAAAAGGGAATCATGTCTGCATCATTCTTTTTTCAGCTGAACCACTCTTTAAAAGTTAGTAAGTAGCATAATCTTCATCCTTTTATAGTCCTTTCCACACTCAAAACACTCCACAAATATTACCTCACTCATACATAGCACATATAGATTTGCGGGTTTGAGTTTTTGTTTTGTTGTTTTTTCTTTAAATGAAGGGTAACATTGCATGCAGACTTTTTAGCATCCAGAACTAATATGCTATTCAAAGTTGGCACAAGTAAAAGCAATTTCATTTCATTTAAATATAGAAAGTGCTAAATTTTAACCCAGTAAGTAGAATGCTGGCCTGGGACTTAGAAATTTAGTAATTCCTGATTCTGTCACCAGCCTGATGGGTTACTGTGGCAAACCACTTTTTTTTCCCCTCTCTCTCTACCTCAGTTTTGCTGCTGTGAAATGGGAATAAATGATACTCACTTTCTTTTGAAAACTCTTCAAGCTCTACAGAGAGAAAGGGGTATAGGAAAACTAGATGTTGCTATACACTGACATAAATTAATTGTTGGTCTGTTTATTATCATTGTTCCCAGAACAATGTGCTAGTTAGTGGAAAAATCCTTGTTGATGTCAGTGGTGCAAAATTAGCCTATCATACACATCTTTGCTAAATAATGATTGTAACTTTTTTCTTTGTTTAGGAATAAAATATAACATGGGACTCCAACAACCCAAAAAAGTAAGTTCTTCAGAAATATGCAAGTAAAATGGAACAAGACATATCTGGAATACAGATTGGGGATAAGGGGTAGGTGGCACAGAGAAAACTATTAGATTGGAAGTTGAAATATCGAACAGGAAAGATTCATCAAAGCTTTCCCCTGGAGTGCAAATTTTCTTGTTAAAATATGAATTTGATAAGCCATGAAAATTTAGTTTTATGGTTGTTTGCTAGATTGGATATTGCTAAGAGATACAGTAAACTTGAAAAATATTTGCATATTTACATTTTGCATGAAATTGTATTGATGAAAGGACTCAGTTGAGAGACATTCAGAAAAATATTGATGAAATTGCTCCATCTAGTGGCCACAAGATCATTCACAGCAGCAATGACAGTATATCACAGCTATTTATTACTACTTCAAAGTTTAAGGGATGAGTGCAAAGTATTTGAAAGAATGCTTGTGTGGATGCCAGCTGTTTATCCAAATGGCATTCCCTGGTGAACTCAGTGTGATGTAATTTATTTCGCTCAATCTCTGCAGCTTCAACTTGACCTTCCAAATTAAATGAATAGGAATTTCATTCACACTTGACATTCAAATCATGGCATTTGCTAATCGTGAAAAGCTAACTGTCGTTTCATCATCTTCATCAATGTGCTGAATTTTGGGGAGTCACCCTGGTGTGGGCTGAGCTTGAAATTTCAAATATACCATAAAAAAAATCAGACCAATTTCCAGTCACTCAAAGGGCAAAATTTATTCGGCACAACAGCTGGCCGTTTATATATACTCAGACTGAAATATATAGGTGATGACAGGAAGCCACTTTTGAACCATAGAACAGAACAGAATCATCGCTCCCCTTTCCATGTAATGCATACAGGATTATCAGAACGAGTTGATTTCTAAGACCACGCTTCACAAAATAACATAATACTGAGCCAGAAAAAAAGATCTTAAATTCTGGAAGAAATATAACCTTTTATGACAAGTTAAAAGGAGGATGCAAATATAAAGAACATTTTCCTTTTTGTCTGGATCTTAGCATTCAGTATACAGAGACGAAAAGACAACACAGCCTATGGGTTTCACCTCAACCCCATTTGACCAGTTTGCACTATAGCCTACAAAATACATGTAAGATTAGTTCCACTGGAATTTGAACAATAGCAATCCATTTTAAAAGGTCATTTGGCAAGCAACACAGTTTGTATTTTGGCACAATATGGCTTTTTATGATGAATATTGATTTAGTGGTTTTTTCCCCAGGAATTAAAAGAGAAAGAAAATTCACTCCTTTTTGACACAAGAATTTATCAAAATGTGGAGAATCAGAAATGCAATTGCTCATGGGGTAATAATTTGAGGTGCACCTTCCTCCCCACAGGTGGGGGCGGTGGGAAGGTTTGGTCTTATTCTTAGCCAAAATAATCTAAAGTCTGTTGAGTAATCCCACTGGGCAACAAAGGGACCAGTCTAACTCAGTGAAGTCAATTAAAGTAATTGCCAATGCCTTCAGTGGGACTTGGATGAAGTCCAAACTGCATAGCCCTCTCCCATCTCTCAGCTGAGGAGGAAGAGTTGTGACTTACAGCCTCTCAAAACCTGTGTACCATGAAAAAAGACACTGGTATTTCAAATGTAATACAGAAGCCAGTGTTTTCAAATTTAAGTCAGCTTTAAACATCCTTAAGGAGTAAGAAAAGGGCAAAAACACAGTTTGCCATTTGCATCTCAGCTCACCTCTAAATGCTAACACAGTATAGACAACAATAGTTGCTTGGTAAATACCAGTACGTAGTTGACGACTGGTATATATACACCAGTATTCATGGAATTTGCAGAAGTGTCTCCCATTCCTCCTCCCGTCTGAACTATAACATCTTTGTAAAACAGAACATTAATAATAAAACAATAAAACATTGTTTTAAATAAAGCAAGAGATAAATAATACTTTGCTGTGATGATAATGGAGGCACTAATTCACTCATATAACCCTCTCACAGACCGTGAAAGTAATTGGAATAGCAGGAAAAGAACTCAAATATTCAAGTGTCACAACCCGTGTTAAATCCACTGCATCATGATGCCTGCGAGTATTACCCATCTTTTTTCTTCTAATATTAGAACAATTTTGATCCATACATGCTTTACTTAATTATAAGCACATTCGAGACTGCCATACATTTGGCACATCCCACCATTAGGTCCAGCCTAACCTTCATTGGTTTGTGCCTCTTCTTTGGTTGCTATCTTTATGTTGCAACTGTTTCATTCTTTTTTAACTGCTTATGCCCCAAACCTATTCTTGCAGAAGTCGGTAGTATAAGTCTGCCATTGATTTCAATCAGCTTTGGATTGGGGCCACAGTAAAAAGCTATGAATTTTTTTTTTTTTAATAAAGATTCACTTTGTAATATACTCCAATGACCAAAGAAGTCAAAGTGATGAAAATGTTAATCTGAGCTAGGTGTGGGACTCTCCATCTTCTTGACTTTCCTAGCAGGTATGAACTCATTTTAAAGGTGGCATATTTTTTCAAGTCTGCATTAATAGCCCATAATAAAAAATAGTATCTTATACTGAATAATAATTGCTAGCTAGAACTGTTATCCACCTGGGCTGTCCTTTTCTGGCTGATCTCAACAGTGGCCATCCTATAAGCTAAGTACATATTTTTAAAGACAGCAACCCAAGTGAAATGCCACAGTTTGCCACGAAACTCTGCAAAAGGAAAAGGTGCATAGCATGCCACCTGTGTGAGCTGAAATCACATTCTACAGAGAGATGACTCCTTTTATAAGGACTAGAGCAAGGTGCGCCTGTTAGTAAATGAAAAATGGCTCTGGGGGCAAAATGAACCCCCTGTGTGTGTGTAGCCTGCCCTATATAAATCCTCAAAACAGGGATGACAATTTCAGCAGTGTACTTAAGCCAACTTCACCCCTATAAATATAGGAATATTGTCAGATGTGTTAAGAGGAAGGAATTGGTATACCAAGGCTGAAAAGACGGGTGGGGCATTAACATACCTATCACTCTACTACTATTATTTTTTTTTAGTCATGCAAAGAGTTCCTCCTGTGGTAGTAACCTGGGATTGTCACACTTGTGTCTTCTGTAAGCCAAGTCCATAATAGCCATGACGGGCTCCATGCATTCCTTCCAGCAAGCATGCTATATGCCTTGCACGCTTCTCTCAGTCCCCCTGCAAATCTAGCAGTTCTCTCCAGCATCATATCAGAGACCCCCGTGCCTCTTCAATTGCCAAAACACCCATGACAGTTCCCTATTTGCATCCTGATGCAAAGGCTGTATGCAGTTACCATCCCCAAGCGACTCTGCCCCCAGTTACTTCTCCTCTCATACCAAAGTCTTCATATTCCCCCTTTCCCATCTTCATTGCCTTCCTCTGGGTCCTGACCCGGCCTAAATCCCAGACTTTACTCATCTCCACTTTCCCCAGAGCCCTGCCTCTCCTTCCCCATCTCTGGGGTTCCCTCAGCACCATCATTTTCCTCCTGCCTTCTCTCGCAGCTGTCTTATTTGCCAACCAATTCCACTCACTTCTGCATCTCTAGATCTCTGCTTACATCCTCATAGCCAAGTCCACCTCCCTCCCCACCCAACTTACCCCTTACAGGGCTCCGCTTCCTCCACCAACACTGTCCCATCCCTCAAGACCCTGCTGTTTCTTCCACCCCAATTTGTGCACCCTCCACAATCCACTTTTATCCCTACAAAATCTCCCAGGAGGACACTCATTTCTTTTAGATGGACAGACAATCTTCCCATATTTAAACTGGGGTGCATAGGTGGCCACAGAGCATCAAGGATATTGTTTTCCTACTCTACAAGGCAGTCAAGGAGCCCCAAAAAGTCATCAAAATGCCCTGAAGTTTCCACTTGCCAATGAGTATTAGAGTTATTTGTGCTCAAGACATAAACATCAAAGATGAACCCATGTCAAAAATCTGGATAGAGTCACCTCCAAACCATGGGGAAATTGGATTTGCTAGCTCAAGCTCATCTCTAGCTCTGAAGTTCACATAAACAAAGCTAAGATAGAAAGAAAAGGATAGGAAAAAAGTCATTATGCTAGTGCAGGCACTGTGTATATGATATGCTGCAATGCACTTCATTTTATAATTTAGCTGAATGGAGAATGGTATGAATAGATCTACCATTAAACTGTACAAGCTGTCAATAGTGATAAATACGCTCTCATTTAGTAATTTCTTGGGTCTTTTCTTCTATCAGGACTGCACTTCCAGCAACAATCAGGATGGAAGAATAAGAAAAAGCACTGCAGATGAATTGTCGGTGGTAAAACAGAGGGGTTCATTATATCCACCTGAAAACACACCAACTATGCTTCAAAGCGGAGACAGAAGGCAAAACAACATCATGTTTCTGGTGAAAGACCATCAGAAAAAAGGTGCAGAAACTAATTCTATCAGGTTCCATAAACGGAGGAGGAGATTTGTAATTAAAAAGAGTCCTATTCTGATTGCCATGAACAGTTCCACTCTCAACCTGCCTACACTTAAGTCTGAGGACAGAAACAATGACAAGTGGAAAAGTCTCTATCAGATCCAAAAAGAGAGGAAAAGAATAATGGGAGAAACTTGCTCCAAATACAAGAGTAACAACCGAAGGATAATCACTCCCTATCACGTTTCTAGAATATTTGTAGAAGACAAATACAGAATTTTATACTGTGAAGTTCCAAAAGCTGGCTGTTCTAACTGGAAGCGGGTGCTCATGGTTCTCAATGGTCTAGCTTCTTCCACTAAAGATATACAGCACAATACAGTACACTATGGAAATTACTTAAAAAGACTGGATGGGTTTGATCGCAAAGGAATTTATCACAGGCTTAACACCTATACTAAGATGCTTTTTATTCGTGAACCTTTTGAAAAGCTGGTATCTGCATTTCGGGACAAGTTTGAACATCCAAACAATTACTACCACCCTGTTTTCGGGAAAGCCATCATTTCTAGATATCGTGTCAATGCCACCAAAGAAGCATTAAGAACAGGTTCTGGAGTCAAATTTAAAGAGTTCATTCAATATCTACTTGATGTACATAGACCAGTGGGCATGGACATTCATTGGGATCATGTCAACAGGCTTTGCAGCCCATGCTTAATAGACTATGACTTCGTAGGGAAATTTGAAAGCATGGAAGAAGATGCAAATTTTTTCCTGCATTTAATTGGTGCTCCACAGAATTTGACTTTCCCTAAATTTAAAGACAGACATTCTAATGAAGAACGAACTACCACTAAAATTACACAGCAGTACTTTGCACAGCTTTCCCCTTCTCAAAGACAACGCAGTTATGATTTTTATTATATGGATTACTTAATGTTCAACTACTCAAAGCCTTTTGAAGATTTATATTAATTTAAGAGTAAAAACAGATACTTGTAGGATTATATTTATCAATTACATAACATGTCCGGGCCTTGGTTCATTGATATACTCTAGAAGCTCATCCCTTTTCTATATTTTCAAAAAATAATCACTGAATTCACTTAACACAGTAAAGTCTAAAGCTTTTCATATATTAAAAAAAAATCTCATTTTGGCAAATTCATGATAGAGGAAAAAATCTTGACTCTTCCTCTATTAAAGGGAAAAAGGAAAGTATAAAGTATGTGTGATTCCATGTGGCTTCTACTAGATGTTACTCTCTGTTTAGTAAAGGGTCAACTGAAGAGCATTTCTGCAGCATTAAAAGAGAAATATGGAGCATACACCTAGAGCATAAAGTGATGCTTACTTCTGCACCTGAATCGTCTCCTCTTTTAAATCATAATTTTTTATGATTTCTCAATATTAAATATTTATATATCAGGGCTACTAAATAAAGTACATGATTTTGCATTGTGGTGGTATTGGCTCATGTTTGCATTGGGCAGGGGCAAGATGCAGAATAAAGTAGTAGAGAAAGCGGTATGGTGATAGTTCTTTACAATTTCCATAACACAGAAAAATAGTTTTATACTCAGATTTATAATTCTTTGTAATCCTCAAAGCGTGCAGCCATTCACCAGGTAGAATTCATAAATTTGAAGATAAACAAAGATTTATTTACTCTGTGATTTCTGAGTTAATCAGAACTAAAGAAAATGTATTACAGTATAATGTTCAAACATGCACCCATGAAAACAAGTAATGCTTAATGACCATTTGAGTGCAGTATTAAACCAGATGTTGCAATTCAGAGTAAGGGTGTCTCCTTCCCTTCCACATTTCCCTTATGGCACATTCATCTTCAGGAAGATAAAATGCAAGAGAACATTTACATCTTTATGCAGGTTATTAAGATTCTTTTAATCCTTTGCATTAACATAAATCTTTAGTTTAATCTATGCAGTCACCAAGAATATGAAATGCTTCCTTTAAAGTAGAAAGTAACAGCAAATAAAAAAGAACTAACTTGATTGGCAGAAAGTTTTATTTCTACAAACAACTGGGTTATTATTTTGGTTACAATTAGATCCAAATTCCCAACAAAAAAGAAAATATGTGTTTACATTTCAGTTCAGTTTATCTTCTATATTTAATTTAAATTTTGCTGTTTCATCATTGGAAAACAAATTAGGAGATTTACAACAGGAAGGCAACAGAACATAGAATCACAGAACAGGGCTGGAAGGGATCTCACGAGCATGGGCAATTGGTGCCACCTGAGTGGGGGGGGGGAGCATATGCCCCCCTGCAACCAGTCCCGCCGACTGGAGCGGGGGGGGGTCCCCTGTGGGTGATACCGCCAACTGGAGGGCATCCCCACAGGCAATCCTGCAGTCAGGGTGGGGGTGCCCCAGGCAATCCCACAACAGCCAACTGTTGCAGCCAATTACTGCATTTGCTGCAGCCGCTTCTGGGAGCAAGAGCTGGCTGATCGCTGCAGCTGCTCCCAGAAGTGGCCGCAGGTACTCCCAAAAGCAGCTGCAGTGACCACAGCGATCGGCCGGCGTTTGCAGGGGGGCACCAGCGTTCCCATCTCCACCCCCCGCCCACCACCTAAGCAGTGAGCATGGCCATCAGGGGGTGCACCAGCACTCTCAGAGGGTGCACATGCAACCCTATGCACCCCCTACACATTGCCACTGCTCACAAGGTCATTTGGTACAGCCCTCTGCTCAAGGCAGATCATCCCTGTCTAAACCATCCCTAATAAGCATTCATCTAACCTGTTCTCAAAAACTTCCAGTGATAGAGATTCCACAACCATGAAGGTGTCCTTCTGGAAAATCCTTCCTAATACCTATCTTACATCTCCCTTGTTGCAATTTAAGCCTATTACTTCATACCCTATCCTCTATGGATCCAGAGAACAGCTAATCACCATCCTCTTTATAACAACTTTTTAAATATTTGAAACTTAGCAATTCTCCCTCTCAGTCTCCTCTTGTCTAGACTAAATGGCTAAGTACAGACAGTCAAAAAGCCCGAGGCTGAATCGATTCAATCTTTGCAGGTTAGTCTAAGCTGTGTAGATTGAACCAATAAGCAAGTGAACAGATATTCACTTTTGATTCCAGAAATGCAGCCACGTGCCTGCAGTGGCCCAGGCCAGAAGCTGGGGGTGCTAGAGCATGCCTCCCTGCTCAACTAGAACAGACAGCCCAGGCTAAGGCTAGCCCACCCACTCTGCAAAGTTGGGCTTGTGGGGAAGAACAAAGCATCCTGGGAAGCTGGGGGACTGTGAGTTAACTTGAATCTGAAAGGGACCTGTGACACAAGTTCAGTGAAACAATTTAACCTAAATCAGTCAAGTCTAACCTAGATCAATCAAGTACTACATCCATCTAGGTTTATCTTAAACTGGTTTGGGTGATTTTGAAAGCAGTTTATATGCACTGAACTTCTGTTATGTTACAGATCTGAACCAGTTTCTGATCACTTACACTGGTTTACATGCAACTTCTGTCCCTAGCCATAAGCCCAATTCTTCCAAACTTTCCTCACATACCATGTTTCATACATCAATCATTTTAGTTGCTCTCCTTTGGACTCTTTCGAATTTGTCCACATCTTTCTTGAAATGCAGTGTCTAAAACTGGACACAGTACTCCAGCTAAGATTTCACAAGTGCCAAATAGAGTGGAAAAATTATTTCCCATGATTTGCATATGATAATCCTGTTAATACAGCCTAGCATGCCATTAGTATTTCATGCAATAATATTATGTTGTTGACTCATATTCAGCTTGTAGTCCACTTTAACCCTCAGATTCTTTTCTGTAGCCTAGTTATCTGTTTCCCATTCCAGTTAATTTTTTTCCTTTCCTAAGTGTACTATTTTGCACTTGTTCTTATTGAACTACATTCTATTTATTTCAGACTATTTTTTTTCCAATTTATCAAGGTCAATTTGAATTCTAAACCTGTCCTTTAAAGTGTCTGCAACCTCACTATACTTTATGTCATCCTCCAAATCATTAATGAAGATATTGAACAGTATTAGACCTGGAGCAGATCCCTGGGGAAGCCCTTTTGATACATCCTCCCAAGCTGGTATTGAGTCATTGATGACTATTCCATGTTAACTTTGGCTAGCCTACAGGTAATCAGTAAGTGCCTAAATTGAAATTGAAGGCTACAGATATAGATATAGGCAAGAGCATCTTGGGGAACGGTGTCTCTCTCAATTATTACACCATCTTTGGCATCTAAATCATGTTACATATTCCAAAAGGGGATAGCATGCTGATTGATATAATTAGATTTGGATATTGCTGGGGCAGCACAGAATGGAGATAAACCCATTTGTACTTTGGTTGCCATGGGCATACTATGATTA